ACAGAGATATCAAACATGCTGCACATGCCCTGTGTACAATGATGACTTTTTTGGGGGGTGTGTGTAGCACGCCCAAAGTCTGCAACTAGTCAAACTAATTAATAAAAAAGTGTGAATCCTAAGTTGGTGGGAAGTCCTACAGATGTTTTGATGTCTCTATGAATGACTTTAAAGGGAAGTACTGTATAATAAATTATGTGATATTTAAAGCAGTAGTAAAGCCCGCTTTGTTATTTTTACCTACAGGTAAGATATAACAAAGCTTACATGTAGGTAGAATGAATAACTTCTAAACGTGCACCATTTAGGAGATATTCGCTCTTTTTGGCAGCCGACGCATGTGCTCTGAAGGAGCGGCATACCCATGCCATGACCCGTGACTCCCACATGCATGCTTGGTAGCGACATCATTGCGGCTTGACCATACAAGCTGCCACAGCCTGTGATCCCGGAAGGAAGACCAAGTGACGATGGAAACCGTGTCAGCGGTGACAGCACACCACTGGAGGGCTTCGTTCTAAGGTAAGTATTTCATAATGTGTGACGCATACTAGCACATTATGCAATTGCCTTGCAGGGGATTTTTTTTTTAAAAAGCTGTGTTTTACTACCGCTTTAAAAGGAGAAGTGTGGGATTGTAAAAAAAAAAATAAACACATGTACTCACCTCTATGCTGCAGCATTGGTCTGATGCTGCAATTGTCCCCACCGGCTCTATCATATGACTGCTGATCGCTCAGTTCTCAATCCATTCTGAGCATAGAAAAGTGACTGTCAGTCATGACTCTGTGCTCTGCCCCTCCAGCAATCACTGGTGGGCTGGGCTGGGCTGGGCTGGGAAGGGGTCAGGTGCAGCTGACTCTGACTCTCAGGAGCATGTTGCTGATCAGACAGCCAGGTGGATCCTGACATTATTGTCAGAATCGTTCCAGATCCTGCAGAGGATCTGTGAAATTAGCCGACAGCAGGCTTTAGTCCACTGTTGTTTGGGTCCCAGGACAGCATACATAAGTGCACTCCAGTGACCCAGAAGAGAAGTATAGCCAGAAAGCTATCATCATACTTCTCCTTTAAATCAATTTTTCATGTGATTTTTCACATTTTACAAGCTTGCTGCTGTTAACCTTTTATTTATTGCATTAAATGTAGAGATTTGTAGATCAGACAACAAATCCTGTGTAGATTACCGTCTTCAATAACTCTAACTGCTTAACAGCTATAGAGAGCAGTCACATACAAAGTGGATTTTTTTATTAAACGATCCAATTTAAAGATTTGCATTGTGAAAGCAGGAAAGCAGAACCACTTTGTAGCACTCAAAGGTGGATCCTGCATATCTAATGAACAAAAATGGCTGCACCCATGTACATATATCATTACAAACAATACACAGAAACAATATTTTTTTCATAAAGGTACATATACTTATATGAGTATTCACATTAAGCCATTCTTAGGTATAGCTAAATAGTCCACAAAGAGACTATACATTCATTTTAAAATGGACCTATCATTTAAATTCAGACATTTGTTCAAAAGTGCTTCTTTCTATTCATGAATAAAATTGCCATTGTTAAGATGCATTGCATAAGAAAGTGAAGGTAGCAGATCACATGGTCATAAATATAATGAGAAAATAGGTCTGATCCCATGTACATATAAAGCTGCAATAAAATGTTTATGCAGCTGTACTACCCCAAGTACAAAAGTGTAAAAATGTGGTATGGTGGCCACTTCTAATAAACAAGGCACTCATTTTCAATTTCCTAAAGGTAGCTCTGCATTATTTTCACCCAGTCCATAGTTAGCTTGGGCAAGGGTTGGGCTTTAAATTGCCCACCTTTGTTTTTAAAACTATTGCTGAATAACAAATGCTACTGTTATATTTCTTCTATAGGTGGAGCCGTGTAGTTTAACTCTCTAGCTCAGTGGTTATCAACTTACAAGGTATAGGGGGCCTCAGCTTTTCCCTCTGACATCAGAGGGTACAATACAACAAAATAGCAAAGGACTGTCAGAGACAACAGAAACATTAGAAGAAATTAGGTCATAAATGGAAGAACAGGAGAAATTCTCCACTGGGACATCATCAGGGGCTGGGACAAAATGCACATAGGGTGGAATCAAGCATACTGACGTCACATACAGCTATCTAGGAATGCAGTGGCATTTCTGTAGGTGAATTAACCAGCATTTTATGTTCTGTTTAATGCACATTGCTTAGACAATATATTTTTTTAAATACTGCACTGAGAGACTTCTTCTATTCCCTCATGGTTGCTATGATACCAAATGTAAAATAGTCAGTGAGACAAGGATTCAGTCGATGGTCTGCTGTGCTGGTGCCATTGAGGTCCAGATTACAGGGATAATGAAGTGCAGCGGTAGCCATCCATCCTTGGGGTAATAACACACATGCAATTACCTCTACTTAGGAGGTAGAGGATCTGGTAACCTTAAAACTTACCTCTGGGTGCCGGGTACTTCACTTCTGTAATCTGCAGACTCGTTGCTGGGATGCGCATTTCAACTGGATGGAGGACATGGTACAATTTCTGAACTTTATCTTGATTTGTTTTAGATATGCATTCTACATAGAGGAGATGGAGGTTCCGATCGGGTCCGCCTGAAAAATGAGCAGGCGGACCCAATCAGAACGTCCGTGTGGAAGAGCCCTTAGACACCACATTTATTAAACGGTGGTTTCTATTATTTATTGATTGGAAATTAACATACAGTATATTGGTTCTTAGCAAGAAGCCATTAGCACATACTGTTTGATCTATTTGAAGTTTATTTAAAAAAAAAAAAAAAAAGTTTCTGTTTGTATTACATACCTTATTTTAAACTCAGTGACACCATCACTAGATCTCTGAGTTTCTTTATCGAATGCAGGCAGATTGTAGCTGGCAATTGGGTCAATGTAAGCAATTTTAGGACAGGGGAGGAGTTTGTACAACTGTGAAAGCTTTAAATATGTTACAGTTAATGAATTTTATGGCAATTTGTAAAATACAGCTAAAGTAATTACCTAAATGATTATTTATATTAGTTTTCTGTAATTCATTGTACAGTAATTCTCGGGGCTCTACTACTTTTGATTTAACATGTTTGTAGGTGGGTACAACACAGAGGTTACCTCGATAAAATACTACTGTTCTTAGAATTGTGAGGTCTGGATCACCTGAGATCCTGAATTCTTCACAGAACTGCTGATGTGCATCCATTTGATGAGTGCAAACTGTGTACATCATGGGAACATCCTACATACAAGCAATTCTCTTAAACCCTAAATTGCACAGTGCTACTTGCAGTCCTAACATTTACTGCTCCCAACAACTACTTTCAGGGAGGTAATGTTTAAGCAAATAATTTCAATATTTCAAAAAGCACAAGAAGAATGTCGGAAGGTCAGAGAGCAGTACAGCAAGTCACGACAAGAAAGATCTTTATCATCAGAATGTTAACCTCTGATAAACTTTTTAACCTTCTGCATATTTTTTATCCTTCATATTATTAGAGTCCCCAATGTCCTAAACTGGCAAATACCCAGGGTGATGTTTGCTATAGACAATACACACAAATATTTTCTTAATACAATTGACAATATAGAATTAGCCCAAAAATATTAAGTTAATTGGTAATTCTACCTAGCTCAGGTCACCATATATCAAAAGCATGTGCATATTTTATATAGTTCAAATGTGAATAGACAATGCAAGAAAAATGATCACTCTTGCCTCCAGTATACTAATTTTGTTTAAAGCTTCTTAGTTAGGTTTATTCGAAAATTGTCCTAAAGAAAAAAGTGAGGGCTGAAAAACGTTGCTGTAACTTTGTAAAATATTCATAAGTGGAAATCCATAGTTCTAAATAAACAGCTAAAATCACCTGCCTAAACCTGTTCCTGCAACCAGTCATACAAACGCATAAGATGAACAAATAAAAACAGAAATGTAAATTAACCCAAAAACACTATACAATGCTACAAAAAAACCAAAGCTTATTTTTGCCTGTAGATGTCACTGTTGCTCCCCCAGCCTGTGGGTCTAGTTACATTTGTCACTGTTGCTCCCCCAGCCTGTGGGTCTAGTTACATTTGTCACTGTTGCTCCCCCAGCCTGTGGGTCTAGTTACATTTGTCACTGTTGCTCCCCCAGCCTGTGGGTCTAGTTACATTTCTTAAATGATAGTAAAAACATTTGATCATACTACAGTAATGGCAAGCTACCACTTGTCGATTCTTTGTCACAAGGAGTTACTGTGAATCAGTAAAATGTGAGGCAAGATCTGGGTGAAGAGTAGAATGCAGCATTACAGAGATCAATTTAGTTCTTAAATCTATGCTGCCATTTCGAAGTGATTACCAGAGGAAAACAGCAACTAAGTAATTTAGGAGTTAGTCATGTGTGAAAAATTGCTACTCACTTTTTTTTCTACAAAATAAGTGCATTGAGTACTTCTATATCATAGCATTTGTGGTATTTGATTACTTTAGTAAGATGGTGTTTCTATTGCTAAGGCCTACCATATACAGGAGATCATTTTATTCTTCCTATGTATGAAGCATGAATGATCATAACTGTGAACATGGACAGCCAGCAATACTGGCAATCTGACAGGATAAGATTCTTCCTATATTTATCTTTGGCTATAAAGGACAGTTAAATAAAATAATCCAGAGTTCCACAATATTGCTCCAAAAGTTATTGATAGGGAAACTGTCGGATATGCACTAAATAGTGAATGTGGATTTTGAATGAACAAAGAAAGGGTTCCATTTAGTGCTAAATTCCCTGATATACTGTTACCTCAAGGTCTTGGGCACAGCAAATGCAGGTTGGTGTGTAACAAAAACTTCAGTTCCTTATTTACATGTAACTCCTCACATTGTTGTAAAATTAGATGAAAAGTTATAAGTCCACTTAGACAGTTAGGATGAATTCCCCCAGTCTCCTTGTTTTTTCTGGGACACAATGACGGTCAATGAGTATGTCTTTTCACATAAGTGCATTGAGCTGTATGGCTATTTTACAGGGTATCATGCTGAGGAATATGCTTTCCTGCACAAACAGAAAAGGTGTTCTTCTGCAGATGAGTCCACTCATATGGCTTTGACTGGTATATTGTAGTTTTCTGTCATCTTCAGTCATGAGACATATCTCATTCCAGTCTCTTTTGTAATCCTCAGGGTAATAAATTTCAAAGTCTTCAGTATCCAGTTTAGCCAACCGGAATAATTTTATCTTGACTTCAAGAGAATAGCCCACCAAACACAAATCAGCCTTAATAAAGAAAGAAAAACTGTTACTATGCATCATATAATCCCTTATTTGAATAGGTGGCCTACTAGATTACAGGACACAAAAGCCCTTCAGCCAGTTCCCGCGCAGTTTAAGAGGCCCTCCATAGTTGCAGTGTGTATCAGGAGTCACTTCCTATGTATATTGGCCATCTTTGTAGCTTATGTAGTATGTTTTTGAGGCCCAACTCATTAAAGAATCACTAAAGCATCTAAGAGACACATCAAAACAAAATGCATCAGAAAAATTATTTTACATTGTCCAAATGATGGACATCCATCCAAATCTGAACAATGATAAAGCAAGAACTGTCACTGTTACCTTTCACACATAAGGTATACATTTATTGATATTATCTATGCTTTGTAATTTGGACAATTTGTATATGGGTAGGCAGGGGCGGACTGACAACTCATGGGGCCCCTGGGCAATAGGGGATCATGGGGCCCCTGTGTCCTTGCCCAAACTCAAAAAAGCCTATGAAAAAGGTACCAGGGGCATCTCATGGGGCCCCCTACTGGCCCCAGGCCCTCGGGCAGTGTCCGAGTTTCCAAATGGTCAGTCCGCCCCTGTGAGTTGGTGCTTGTACTATGGTAAATGAATGCTGTAGAATACCTTATTATTTAAGGGAATAACAGCAAGTATGTACATGTGTCTGCAGATATTTTAAGTTTGTATTACAGTCTAGGTGTGGCCCTTAGAATCTAGCTGTGTTGTTAATAGTATAGTAACCCAACTACTGTATATGGAAACCTTCTCTACTGTGCCTATGTATCTAAGAACAGCAGATAAGTCTCCTTATTAACTTTTGTGTTTCCCAGTGCTCTTGTCATCTGCACATATTGGATTTTAATGTGGTGTGGGGAGAAGTTGGAAAAATATAGCATTAAGAAATTACCTGCTCCAGTCCAGATGTATCGCCCACTGCATTCAAGTGGTTCATCATGTAGCTTAGAGGGTCAGCTGAGGTGTCCCGTGAGAACAAGAAATTAAAGAAGCATGGAGAGTGTTGTGCTGACTTTATATTTTCATAAGCATCAATCACCAAATACAGCATAAGAAATTTTAATCCTTCATACAGTTTATTTTCTGTAGCTTCATCAGAAAAAAAGGACTTGCACATTCTGTTTCTTTCAACCCGGTCTTTACAATTGTAAAATTCTGCCCACTGAAACAGAAAGCAAAGTCAAATTTAAATGTTAACACCCTATAAACTAAGAACTAACAAAGTATAAGTAATGTTAATATAACAGTATGTTCTTTAAAAAAAAAAAAACATTCTTTCTTCTACCATTACAAAATAATGGATACAACACATGGCAAATGTCACTCCGATACTTGATAGAGTCACCCAAGACTCGAAGCTAGTCCATCATCAAAGAATATTATCAACACAAAAATACATCAAAATACTTTATTATAGGTTGTTTAGATGCATTTTTTAAATTTTCAGACCTCCCTTAATCCTCCATCCTCTGCAGCTGGTGTTCAGGGGTGTGTTTATGTCACAGCAAGAAGCGCATTCTTCAAAGATCAACTTCAGTTGCTAGCTCACAAACCTTATACATGGAAGGAAGCAACAATATGCTACCTCATTAGGCACTGCTGCTTTGAAGACGGTGGGCAAGGGGGCTGACAACATTGCTGTACTTTCTGCTGCAGACAGCTAGAGTTGATGGCCCTCTGCCTGAAATAAAAGAAAAAACAACTAAACGGACAGAATTAAGGGGTAAATTTATAGGAAACACCCAAACCCAAAAAGGATAGTCTGATTGAAGAATACTTGTAATGCACTTGATAAATGTTTAAACATACCTGCAGCAGCTTTCAGTACCCTATACCCAAAAGGACAAGATGTTTTAAAAGTAGGTCAGTGTGGGAGTGTGCCCACTGTCTTCCTACCCTGTGTATTTTCCCATCAGTATGATGGTTTGGCTGACTGGCCAGCAGGAATTATTGAGAGGTTATAAGAGGGCCTCTTTAGTAATAAAATGACTTTTTTTAATCTGTCCTGGCACAGATACATTGGGGTTGATTTACTAAAGGCTAAAATCAAATATACTGTTCACTGCAAGTGCAGTTGCACCAGGGCTTAGTAAATGAGGTACAGCTTCACTTTGCAAAGAATACCCAATCACATGCAATGAAAATTAAAAAAAAAAAAAAAACAGCATTTTTTGCTTGCACATGATTGGATGATCAGCAGAGCTTCCCCTCAGATCCAGAGTAAATGCACTTGCAGTGCGCAGTATATTTGGCTTTAGTAAATCAACCCCATAGCCAAACTGCTTATTGTACTGGGTCTATGGAGGGGCTTCATAGATTTCTTCAACAGTAGTCTGATTCTACAGTTAGGATGTAGGCTTCATGAACATTTTTTGTATTAATCAGAGCACCCTTAACAGCAATGTCACTGTCTCACATTTACTGTGCATGGTTTAACACCTTGCTACACGCTAAACTCTTTTATTCCAAGTCACTTGTGCGAGAAATTCCTGTGGATCAATATGTAAGGACACACTTAAATTGTTGATCAGATGAGGGTTTTAAACAGTTTGAGGTCATTAAATTTGGGAAGAGGGTACAATCACAGAGGCTCTGTAAAGGCCAATTGCAGTGTTAAGCAGAACATAAAGAAAGCATTACTCTTTAGCAAACAGAAGAACATGAATTGTTATACTTTTCATGTCAACTGTGCATACCAGGGGTCAAAATTGATTTAAAAAGGGCATTATCATTTGCTCACAAATGAAAGTGATTGTATCCAGATACACCCAAACTGTGTGAAATGACTTCAATTAAAAAGAATGTATATCCTTTATAAATTATGATCCTGACTTAACCTGGCTATACACTAATCTAAATTAAGCTGGTTCAGCAATGATAGAATGAATTTTGATCAGTGTGTGACAGTCCCTGCTCAACAAAAGTTGTTGTTTGATTGACTTCTGTCAAAGGGCATGTTGGAAATTTTTTTTGATCAACGGCTGCACCCACTGCTTAATGTATTCTGATGGTGTTGAATGCAGCTGTCAGAATACAATGTCTGCCATTGGGAATTATTCCATCCACTTTGTGTAGTTAGGAGTAATCTGTTTTTTTTTTTTTTGCTAAGCCCACTTGATAAAAAAAAACAAAAATAGGTTGAGCTACAGTAAAATCTTTTTCTTGGAGTACATTAAGGGAAACAGAATGAAGTAATTCAGCTACATTGGATTATGCAGCTGCCTTCAGGAGACTAATCAGGAAAGGGGATTTTATGGTAAGTCAAAATACTTCTTTATCATTTGTACATTGAGTCATAGAGGGACGTCCAAAAGCAGTCCATCTAAGGGGTAAGCAACACAGCAACAAAAATGTTAACAGGGCAATAAAAACCAACAGGTTAACAGAGTGGGCTTGACAAAGCCTACAGAGTCGCCTGAAGAACCAACCAGCATCAAGCAAGGCCTAATTGACTACCTAGTAAAACTGAACGAATGTGTCAGTAGAATACCAGGTGGCAGCCAAACCTAAAAAAAACAGATGTCAGATGCTGAAAAGCTCATGAGGCACTAACTGATTTAGTGGAGTGTGCTTGAAAGGGAAAGGTGGTACCTTGCACCTTATGGCAATAGGCAATGGCAACGTGAAAGGAAGAAACCACTCTGAGAAGTAAATATAACCTTGTCTCTGTGTAGCAGCAGCCCAGATTCTTTGTAAGTTAAATGCACTAACTTTGTTCAATTTAATTTTATTGAAATTACAGAAAAAAGTACATACATACACTCTATTGCCAAAAGTATTGGGACACCCCTCCAAATCATTGGATTTAGGTGTTCCAATCACCTCCATAGCCACAGGTGTATAAAATCAAGAACCTAGGCATGCAGACTGCTTCTACAAACATTTGTGAAAGAATGGGTCACTCTCAGGAGCTCAGTGAATTCAAGCATGGTACGGTGATAGGTTGCCACCTGTGCAATAAGTCCATCCGTGAAATTTCCTTGCTGGTAAATATTCCATGGTCAACTGTGATAGTGGTATTAAAACACAGTGGAAGCAACTGGGAACAACAGCAACTCAGCCACGAAGTGGTAGGCCACGTAAAATGACAGAGCGGGGTCAGCGCATTCTGAAGCGTACAGTGCAAAGAAGTTGCCAACTGTCTGCAGAGTCAATAGCTAAAGACCTCGAAATTTGCTGTGGCCTTCAGATTAGCACAACAGTGCATAGAGAGCTTCAAGGAATGGGTTTCCATGGCTGAGCATCTGCAAACAAGCCTTATATCACCAAGTGCAATGCAAAGCGTCAGATGCAGTGGTGTAAAGCATGCCACCACTGGAATCTAGAGCAATGGAGACGTGTTCTCCGGAGTGGCAAATCACGCTTCTGTCTGGCATTTTAATGGACATGTCTGGGTTTGGCAGTTGCAAGAACGGTACTTGCCTGGCCTGCACAGAGTCCAGACCTTATCCCAAAAGAACACCTTTGGGATGAATTTGATCGGAAACTGCTAGCCAGGTCTTCTTGTCCGATATCAGTGCCTGACCTCATATGTGCTTCTGGAAGAATGGTCATACATTCCTATAGACACACTCCTAAGCCTTGTGGGCAGTCTTCCCAGAAGAGGTGAAGCTGTTATAGCTGCAAAGGGTGGGCCAACTTAATATTGAACCCTACGGACTAATACTGGGATTCCATTAAAGTTCATGTGCGTGTAAAGGCAGTCATCCCAATACTTCTAGCAATAAAGTGTGTGTGCTGTATGGAGATTGAAGATTGAATGATAGGAGATCTCCAATATAACAATTCAATCTGGTAAGGTTACATTACAGTTCAGTCACTTTACACAGAGAAGAAAAAGTGGCAGAGGAAGGGATACATGGCATCATCTTTGGCATCAAGTGTAGGTACATAAGAAAATTTAATTTCATAAAGTATACTAATATTCAGTGTTACACAAAGAAAGTACACTGCTCAAAAAAAATAAAAGAACACTGAAAAACATTAGATCTCAAAAGGGGAAAAATATCATGCTGGATATCTATACTGATATGGACTGGGTAATGTATCAGGAATGTAAGGATGCCCCATCATTTGATTGAAATTAAAATTATTAACCTACAGAGGACTGAATTCAAAGACACTCAGAAAATCAAAGTGAAAAAATGTTGCAGCACGCTAGTCCATTTTGCTGAAATTTAATTGCAGCAACTCAGAATGGTACTCAGTAGTTTTTATGGCCCCCTCGAGCTTGTATGCATGCCTGACAATGTCAGGGCATGCTCCTACTTAGACAACAGATGGTGTCCAGGTGTATTTCCTCCCAGATCTGGACCAGGACATCACTGAGCTCCTGGACAGTCTGAGGTGCAACCTAGCTGTGTCAGATGGACTGAAACATGATATCCCAGAGCTGTTCTATTGGATTTAGGTCAAGCGAGCATGGGGGCCATTTAATGGTATCAATTCCTTCATCCTCCAGGAACTGGCCGCATACTCTCGCCACATGAGGCCGGGCATTGTCGTGCACCAGGAGGAACCCAGGATCCACAGCACCAGTGTAGGGTCTGACAATGGGTCCAAGGATTTCATCCCGATACCTAATGACAATCAGGGTGCCGTTGTCTAGCCTGTAGAGGTCTGTGCGACCCTCCATGGATATGTCTCCGCAGGCCATCCGTGACCCACCCCCAAAATGGTCAAGCTGAATAATGCTACAGGCAGCATAACGTTCTCCATGGTTTCTCTGGACCCATTCACGTCTGTCACATGTGCTCAGGGTGAACCTGCTCTCATCTGTGAAAAGCACAGGGCACCAGTGGTGGACCTGCCAATTCTGGTCTTCAATAGCAAATGCCAATCGAGCTCTATGGTGCCAGGCAGTGAGCACAGGGCCCACTAGACAATGTCGGCTCTTCAGGCCACCCTCATGAAATTTGTTTTTGATTGGTCAGTGGCCGGCTGAAGGTAATTTTGTAGGGCACTGGCAGTACTCAACCTGTTCCTCCGTGCACAAAGGAGCAGATACCGCTCCTGCTGATAGGTTAACGACCTTCTACTGCCCTGTCCAGCTCTCCTGGAGTAACTGCCTGTCTCCTGGAATCTCCTCCATCTCTTGGCAACCTTCTGGCAATGGCATGTATTGATGTGCCATCCTGGAGGAGTTGGACTACCTGTGCAACC